GAGGAGGATGGGTCTGGAAGTGCTCGCTCTACGGCGACATCCCACTTTTGCTACGATAATAGGAGGAAGAATAGGAGGAGTCAGGCATTGCGATTATTCCTCCTGCGGAAAAAGGGAAAGGCCTGGCCTCAAATAAAGACCACATGCGGGCCCCAGATGTAAAGAATACGAGTGAGTATTCTATGGCGATGGTTCAAGGATATATCAAAGCTTCACCGGTTGCAATTGGAGGAAATGTTCGTATCATGGTTGATCACTCGAGATATTTATTATTTCGGCAAACCTCTATTTGGCCATCGTTTTTGAAACTATTCCAACCTACCATCGAGGTTCCCCTTTCCTCCAAAATGCCGTCGGTCGAAAAAAAAGTAAAAAAAATGAAATGAAATGAAAATGCCCCTAACACTAACGCTACCTGCAAACCCTCCAAAAAATGCAGCCCACAAAAGTAGTTTTAGATTTTGCATTGTCTATAACTATGCCCTGCCATATCATTCGTGACCTCCGACTAAAGGCACCTGCGCAATCTCTTTGCAGGTGCGGCAAAGCAACGGTTGGAACACTGTAGATGATGCACAGCATCGTTTGGTCGAACGGGGCAGTGATTCTGCAGGCTCAGTAACTACGTTCAGTGGCACGGGTCATACCGTTTCGATTTTGCGGCAGCTACCTGTACGTGCGGCCACTCTCAGATCAACGAAACTCCGCGTAGACATGCAGTTGCCTTGATACGCAAACTTGGCAAACATCCGCATGATTTCATGCCCGATTTTTTCCTCATGACCACCTACCGTGATACGTACCGGGCGAGCCTGCGTCCCGTGGACTGCACAGAGCTGCCGTCAAGCGTAGACTGCTTGCAAACTATCCTCAGGAAACCTCGAGGACGTCCCAAGGAACGCAGGTCGCGTAAAGCTGAACGGCAACGCCGCACTCGTGCAGCCCAAGCAGCTGAAGCAGCTGAGGTGACTGACAATACTCCGCAACGCTGTGCACAGTGCGGAGGTATTGCTCTGACAGTGAACTAAACAGTTGCCCTTTGTACAGCCCGAGCGGGCTTGTTTCCGCTGCCAGGTCTATTGGTCAGTCGAGGGGTGGTAGGTGGTGTGCTGGTGGGCGGTGCAAGTTGCCTGCTGCTTTGCCCGCTGGTTGTGGGTTTGGGGGAGGCTTCGAGGGTGTGTTTATGGGCGGTGCAGGTCGCCCGTTGCTTTGCCCGCTTCTTTGCGGGTTTGGGGAAAGCGTCAGTATTGTGGACAGTTTCATTTCGTTTTATATATATATATATATTCTACTTTTTTTTTCGACCGATGGCATCTTGGAAGAAAGGGGAACCTCAATGGCAGGTTGGAGTATAGTTTCAAAAACAATGGCATAATAGAGGTTTGCCGTTATTTTTCTGCCTCAAGCGGTCACAAATCCACGGTCCAATTATCCCGCCGGATGAAGGCGAACAAAAGACCAATAGGGCGTTCCACTGGGTTGCCATAAACGGCCACGAATCGTCGGTGCTAAAACAAGAACGCTCATAACAGGGCTCATATATGCATTCAATGTATTCTCTTTATCCTCCGCTTTGAGTACAACTTTCACCCAGTAAGATCGGCTACCCGCCGATCGTCCCGTCCGATCATGATGACGGACGAAAAATAATTTACGACCTCGAGTTAAGGCTCAAGACACAACTGCTTCCAGCCACTCCAGCAACTCCGGATGCCCCGCCAGAATTTCGTCCTCCAACTCTATCAACGGCTCGGAGCAGAGATGATTCCCGTTGTCGTCCGAACAGAACCATGTGCCCCTTTCGACCCAGCACTTGCTTATTTACATGTATGTGCCTAGCACACCTTATCCGCTACAGCAGGATCCAATGAGTCGCGCTTTACATCCCGAACAACAAGATTGCGCGTTGAAAAGGATCGCTCTGAAGGAACAGAATTCGTTGGAGTATGCAACTTAAGGCAAATCCGCTGAGCTCAGGGACAAAAGGCTTTGTTTAGGTCCAAAAATGGACGCTATTGTCCTTTACATCCCGAGCGGGGGATGCTTTGTTTTCCACACCCGAAGACACTGGCTCTTCCGGCTCCGAAATTCTATGCGCTTCGATGACACTCTCCGCGTGGGCATGTCGCTCACATGAGTTGAGAAACGGGTTCTAGAGCTTCTCCCTAGGCTGGGGAGAACCCCGATGCGCAATGTATTCGCCAAACTGGGCGCGTTCGGAGAGATATGGTGCGGCGAAAAGGATGCGCCCGTCGTCGGAGCGGGACTCTCCACGCTTTGCTTCGTTTTGGGTCGTGTAGAGATTCTTCCAAACCCATCGATGAGCCTCTCCTTCTTTGCTTTGAGATCGGGGAAGTGCTGCGTCCGAAGTTGATCCTCATCACAGAAGCGTGCGGGTACACTCAGCTAGATGCACCCCAAGGTCGTTCCATTGCTGATAGACCTTTCCCGTCTCTAGCTTTGAGCTGTTCTGTGCGGTATGTATCGGTTTGATCAATTGATACAGTTCCTCTAGAAGGGATCAGAAGCGTACGCTCTGGATCGACATGACATTCAGATCGTGGCCCTTTCATCTTCACAATGTTCAAGAAGATGAAAACCGGGTAGAGATATATTTCAGAAGTTACTTCCATCACTGCGTTCAATACGAAACCTCCGGTGATCCATTGGTAACTTCCGGATATTCGCTGTATAGTCCCTCTCAACACAGGATAACCAGAGTCCTTCATCCGTAGCCATAGCGATGGCTGTGTACTCTGCTTCGGCCGTTGATCTTGCAGTGGCTGGCTGTTTGGATGACTTCTGCTCCGTTCCCATAGACAAGAATCATCCATGAGGTTGGCTTGTAAGTCCTCCGGATCGCCAGCGAAATCCGCATTCGCATGTACGTGGAACGGTCCGACGGCAGATTGTGCTGCTATTCGACACCGCTCCCAAAGTCGGAAATCGCGTTTGGATGCCGTATGATTTCATTTCTCGCGATTTTCCGTAAACTCAGTATACAATTCTTACACCATTTGCCCTCACTCCTATGCTTGACATCCCTGCCGGAAGCTAAAGACTTCAAAATCTGCTCCTTCTTCTGTTGTCAACTTGTAACTTGTGAGTGGTGCACACCGTAGAAAGCATCTGCTTCTCTGGTAGTGGGCTTTCGAAACTCTACCCCGCCACTGGCATATCTAGAAAGGTCAACACCTCGATCTTGCGCTTGTTGGTTGGCTCGCGGCGGATCCCTTTAATTGGTGTATCGCAGATCTTTCGGTGTCGCTCTGTGACGGGTACCCTTAGGACCGGGGCGGATAGTCTCTGCAGGACGAGGAAAAGTCGAAGGAGCCATCCATACTACCAGTGTTCTCAGGCTACAGCACCGCTCTTGTGCCTCCTCAAAAGTCTCATTGTAAGGGTGACGTTCGCGCTCACCAATAGGAAACCCCCGGCGCTCAGTCATCCTCCTGCCCCACCAGTGCCACCACGCCGGTCCGCGGTGCCTGAAATCGAGTCGATACGGTAGTCCCTACCCACTGTCCCTCGGCTTGTTCGTTGCGTGTCTGGGAGGGAAAACTTTGACGAACACTGGCACAATTCTCAAGAGCTTCTCATCACAATACACCACCCTCCATTCCATCACGCCCCACTCCTTGCGCAACAGGCACCACCTCTGACGCTTCCACATCGTCGTATCAATTGGCATGGTCGTTGTTGAGACTTTGTGGGAGATAGTCGAAAGTATCACCTCTGGGCTGCTCGATGCTGGAACCTCCTGACCATCCAATTGGAATCTGATATCCGCAGCGGATGGCTCTTGGAAATACTCCGACTGGGTGGCAGGAAATTCATATCATCTTAGCAGCGTAGCCACGACTTCGGAGAGAACACTTCAATTCCTCTGTGTGTGCGGTGTTTCCGCGTTTTGCAAGCTCTAGAGGAATAGAAAGGATGTTCCCATGAGCTCGGCGGGCCCTTTGGCAATGAGCGTGTTCGGGGACGAGCGCAAGGAATCGAAAAGTGCCCAGAATCTGCTGCTACTGAAGGGTCGAGGCGGCTCTTGAGACTTCTTGAGGCCGGATGAAGGCCGCCGTTTCCGTATATAAGTCGCAGCGGTTGTGCCGGCAGGAACTCTCATTCCTGCCGGCTCAAGTGACTGGCTCCAGTCATTCCACTCTGTCTCCGGTTAGCTCAAGCCATCTCTCCTGACGAATTCGATGGTACCTTTCGTCCGCGGGATTTTGATGGAAATATTGGCAAGACGACGGTAGAGCAGTCGATTTTAACTGTTTTCGGATGGATGTTGACGTTCCACTTCACGAAATGCATCCTGCTCAACCTTAACTATCGGTCTAGACTGCTACTGCCCGCCGAGGTTTTGAACTCTTTGCCAGACATTTTTGTATAGTATCTGGTGTTTTTTTCGCTTGGTTCTCTCTATCTTTTTTCAGCAATCAATAGGGGCCCTCAAGGTAGGCCAGAAAAATCGGCTGGCTGGAAAATGGGGCTGGTGTTTAGCCAACCAGAGAGACCAGCCGGAGGGTGAACTTTGAGGGGGCGTTTGTGCTGCTGCCACTGCGGATTTTATTCATAGCGGCAGCATCCACACTTTTCCCATTGGTGGGCTAGTTTTTGGCCTGCTGTGGAGTTGCTGGGCTGGAAACGAGGCTCTATTCGGAGGCGGTTATTATCACCATTTTTTCGTTTTTCCAGCCCACTTTGAGAACCCCTTTGGCTGTTGCAGACAACACACTGGAAGACTTCCCGCAGCGGTTTAGAAGGGCAAACGGCCCCCCATTTCCCATCAGGTTGATTTACGACTTTACACCTCGTGGCACAAGACCTTTGCCTTCACGCCACCGGTCGAAGGCGACATCACGGCCGACGTTTTATGGCTATGCGGAGCGGCTGCCGCCTCAATCATCTTGCGCGACCAGAAAAAAGGACCCAGACTTTAATACAGGAACTCAAAGGGATTACTTCGTAAATGTAAAAATGGAAATGTCATCAGTAATGGCTGCTTGGCGCAATGGTAGCGCGCAGACCTCCTAAGTCTGAGGTTGTGGGTTCGAGTCCCATAGTGGTCGTTTTTTGAATACGGTTGGTTCTTGAGTATGCAAGAGTTACAACACCTCTGTGCATGATGGAGAAGCAAAACTACTTCGATGTGGGTCTAACTAACCTCTCGCTTGAGGTGGAATAAACATGAACCCCAAGCCGCAGCACCAACACCCGTAGGGAGTCAGGTTTCCACAGTTGAATTTTTCACTTTTTATTACTCGTCTCTGTTTTTAACAACCTGAGCACTTCCCCAGGCCCGCAATATATGGTGACAAGTCGGGTAGGGGACCAATCATATGGGCCGTAATCACTGAAAAAGCGAGAGACACCAGCTACAGGATCACCACTAGTACTGATGCAATTGGCCTCCTAGAGCAGCGGTTTGGTTAATCCTCTGTCCTGACCAGCCACCAACAATCATTCCTGATAAGCTGCCGGTTGCGAGGCCCAGCTCCAAACAAGCCTCACAATCCGTGCAGAAAATTATTGGGCTTTCACCGCATGCGGTCTTTTGTCGGGTCAGGGATACTGGCCCTTTATATCAAAGTTATGAAGCTGCTCGGGAATACCTTGGTTGAGACAAAGAGATCATTTCTAACTGCACTTCTCTGCCAAGGTGAATGCGGCAACTGACGTTACTTCTGCACATCGTTCTCTCGCCAGCACAAAGTAACTCTACAATTCGTCATCGCCTCGCGGGGGCTGAAACGCAACGTTGTGGTGTGGCTTGGCCTGTTGCCAGACGCCTTCGGCCCTAGTTGCTCCCACTACTACCTGTCGTCACAAGCTGGAACTGCGAATACCAATAAACCCCACGACCCTTAGTTCCATCCGGCACGCACCCCTCGATAACCACCGAATATGGATCTCGGCAGACGTCGGGACGACGATGGTTTTGACGCCGGCTTCGATCTGGGAGAACCTCGCCCCCGGAAGCTCCCAGCGGATCTCCCAACGTCCCTGAATGATCGCCGACACACTCCCGCCGTAATCACTGAAACCGAACTCTACGATGGCTGGCAAGGTGCGTAAACCTCACAGGTCGAGCTCCGCCGCATGTCGCTGCGCCACCGCGACCACCTCCCCTTTCTTATCCCTTATTGAGCCAACCCCGCTATCTGCTAAGTGGTGAGCTGACCCTGCTTCCTCGACCCGCCTAGGTGAATCGCAGTTCATCACCGCCCCCGTCCCCGCACGCCTCGATTTCGGTAATTTGGGTTACCGTGACGAAGAGGAGGATGTGAAAGGGATCGAGGAGAGCGAACTCCGGCTGGAGTCCATGCTGGCACAGCAAGCGGCCTTCCGGTTAGATGGGGCTGGATTGGACGACGACGAGATTGCCACCAGCACGAAGCTCACGGATCAGGAAAAGAAGGACTTGCTGCAGAAGGCGCTGAACATGGCCGCTAGTAATGGCGAGGACGAGCGCGTGCAGAAGCTACTCAACGGGGAAGCCAAAAAATACATCGATGTCAATGCCCCGGATGAGGAAGGAACCAGTCCGCTGATATATGCCAGCTGTTTTGTGAGTAGCTGCTGGCCGGGAGTGTGACTGGGTGTATGCCTAACCCTGTGTAATAGGGTCACGAAGACGTTGTTAAGGCTCTACTGGAAGCCGGCGCAAATGCTGATCAGCAAGACAAGAATCAATGGAGCTCACTCATGTGGGCAATGACTAATCGACACAAAGGAATAGCAAAATTGTTGCTAGACCACGGCGCTTCGCCGGAAATCAAAAGCTCGTCCGGTAGAACCGCATTCGATTTCGTAGATCCCGAGAGCGAGATTTCCGGGTATTTACATGCAAACGGGTACATCGGAAACACGGGGGTTGTTGCAGGGTTTGGAGACGACTTCTATGACTCGGGCTTGGCTCAGGACAGATTCGAGGAGGAGATGGCGGAGAATGAGCTGAGGAGACGGATGATGATGGAAAGCGCTATTAACTTGGAGGTTGACCTTTCAAGTCTGGGGCTGGACGAACAAGCTGAGGTGAGTAGCCTAGGGTCTAGGCATGGGCCACTATTGACTGGATTCAGGAGCCCGAGGAAGAAGAGGAAGAGGAGGGACAAGAGTTCGTGTGGGATCGTTGTTTGCCAGACCAGATGTTTGTCTTCCAGGAGCAGGATCTGAGTAGAATTCTGGACGTGGTCATCACGAATATGACTCCACAGCGGTCGCCGTCGCAAAAGCCGGTGCCGGCTAACATCCTTTTCCTAGGCGCACGCTATGCGCATTATCATAGCTCTCAGGAGTTGCTGTCCCGTCTGCTGGTTGCGGCAATGGACAGAATAAACCAAACTGTCGAGAGGCATCAATGGGATATGACCATACTCGCGTTTTGGCTGTCGAACGCCACATTGTTACTCTACTATCTCAAAAAAGACGCCGGCCTCGTTGGCGCGACGATCAGATTTCAGCAGCAGCTCTCAGAGCTCATCAACGAGATATTTATCTTGATAATCAGAGATGCAGAGCGGCGCATGGACAAGGTACTTGACCAGGCAATGCTCGAACATGAGACGATACCTGGTTTCGAAGACGTGCAATTCCAGAACGAGTGGCGACTCTTCAAGACCAAGAAAAAGATTCACGACCCTGGCCCAGAAAAGCGCTTCAGACCCCCTTCGCCCAAACAGCGGGCAAAACCGGCTCCCCGAAACATCACATCGCTCCTCTCCTCGACACTGTTCGTTCTCGACCTTTACGATATCCACTCCGTCATCACCGCCCAGATTATGAGTCAACTATTCTATTGGCTTGGCTCTGAATTGTTCAACCGCATTATGTCCAATCGAAAATACCTGGCCCGGACAAAGGCAATGCAGATTCGACTCAACGTATCACAGTTGGAAGACTGGGCGAGGAACAACAACCGGCAGCCCGAGCACTACGAGTCAGGGGCACTGACAGCAAGCGGTGAGCACACGGTCGAGGCCGCACGGAAACATCTTGAGCCGATTGTTCAGTTGTTGCAATGGCTTCAGTGTTTCTCATCCTTGGGCGAAGATCTGCCAGCGCTCAAAGGAACGATCGAGCAACTTCCCCGATTGACATGCCAGCAACTTTTGCATACGACCAAGAACTACCGTCCGGAGGTGGGTGAGAAGGGACTCAACCGGGACGCCATGAAATATCTGGTGGGCCTGAACATGGACTTTTTTGAGAAGAGAGCCAGAAGAAAATCCAATGCCTCGCTGAGTGTGGTGCCCACAACTCCGACCACAGCGAGCCCCGGAAAGCTTCCCCCATCACCTGGCACCCCGCAGACCATAACATCGATCAGCGGCATGACCCCTGATGAGGATGATGCTCCTGAGAACCTCCTCATGGACCCCTCGCTGATGCTGCCTTTCCACTTGCCCACGAGCACTGACATGCTGGTGAGCTTCGGTGCGGGCATAGGTGGCATGAATCGAGAGCGCGCGCAGAAGTACTGGCCTTCGGTGCCCCCAGAATTCTTGACGAAACTAGACTTCTCGAACCGAGGGGATGGCGATGGACATAGTATGTACTCTGGTGCGGGGTGGAGAGATGGGGATTAGATGGTAGTTTTTTTTCTTTCTGAGACATGCATGGCACGCGTTTGTGTTTATTCTTCGTCTTCGGGTTTGCGGGCTTTGGTGGGTTGCTTGCTTTGCTTGTGGTATGATATTGGGAGTAAGATTTCTTTGCTGGTTGGTCTTCTGCCCGGATTTCTGTTTTCATTTTTCCGCCTGTAGACTCTTACGATTTTTAAATGTCGCATTTTTGTGGTCACGTTGTCTCATGTACTGCGGGCGTGAGCTTATCTGTCACGGCTGAGAAGGATGATCTAATAATAATGAATGAGTGGCAAAAAATTCAAAAAATAACGATGACAAGAGGGGGATTCGAACCCCCGCCAGTTTCCTGACCAGAATGCGCTCCCAGTTGAGCTGGGAGAAGACTTAACTTGAGTCTGGCGCCTTAGACCGCTCGGCCATCTTGCCGTAGATATATAAAAGTGTTTCCCTTAACCCTTGACACTACCAAGTGGTTTGACTCAGGTCAGACACAGACTCACTTTGTATTCTACATACCGCAGCATGCTGGCAATTTGGTGGCACCATATTCAATGGTATCGGCCGAGAAAGTAACAGTACGTATGCGCCGGAGTCAACGTTTGCCAGTCATAGCTGAGTGTAAACCAATTGTTGGATCTGTAATGCGCCATCTCTTCGTGATACCACCTTCCGGCTCTCTGCCTAAGGTTGTTATGCAAGCATAACCCATCAGCGTTGATTGGCTGCGTAGAGCTGCCGGCCGATGGCGGGAGAAGATCAATGAGGTCATTTCATGCAACCACGCGAGCGGTTGTATGTCCTGCGTATACTTACCTAGCTCCTCTCTCCCTCTACCACCACCAACCGTTCATTTCTTGACTGGTCTTCTGGTCAACAAACCACCACCGCCACAACCACCACAATCATAGCATAATGCCATCTCCACCACCACCTGGTATTTGCCCCACCTCACCTAGCACTTTGAAGAAAGCTTACATCTGTCCAGCCCGTGAGGTCTCCCCACGTCCCTCGCATGAGCGCGAGCACGCCCCCGACGAAGAAGAGCCGCTGCTAGGCCGTCCGGGCGACGTAACGCAGCGGCCGTCGGACTTGCTCCTCAAAAACCTGATCCTAGGCACCGCACCGCTCGCACAAGTCGGCGGGATAACGCTCGTGGCGATAACCTGGGGCGGGGTGTTTACGCACCGCCTGATACTCTTCAGCGCGCATCCACTGCTGAACTCGCTCGGGTTATTGCTCGGGATCCAAGCGCTGCTGATCCTCCAGCCCACACACACAGCCGAACAAAAGCGCAGCGGCACGCTGATGCATTTCCTATTTTGGGCGTCTGCGTTGGCCACGTTTTATGCGGCGCTGGTGGTGGTCGAGGTGCATAAGCAGCGCGGCGGGATCGGACACTTTGAGAGCCCGCATGCGGTGCTGGGGATCGTTATTTATGTGCTGCTGCTGATCCAGGCGTGGGTTGGTGTGGCACAGTATTT